TACCGAAACGTCACTCCGGAAGCTCCAAATCGAAACTCACGAATATCCACACTAAAAGATAATAAAAAAACTATAATCAACATCTAACTCAGCTAGAAACACACAAATTAACATATACAAACCTAAATTCTTGGATTCCCAAAAATACCAAAAATTGACATTGTTTTCAAGAAATCGTTATCCAAATCATTTGCAATCAAAAACCTGATTTAATATTATTATAATCACTCCAAAAACAACTAAATTTCATTAAGAAAACCTCAAAACCAATTCAATAAATCAGCACATTAATTAGCTCCAAAAATTAATTGAAAACTTAGAAATCCTTTTAATTAAATCAACAATTCAATAGAATCATTAACACTTAGTCAATTATCCTCGAAGCTTGAAAGAAAACCAAGGAAAAGATCCCTACCTTGGTGGAAATAGATTGAAATTGAGATCATCAATGGAACTCCATTATGATCAAGATTTAAAAACAAGAAGATAATATAAGAGAAACTTGAGAATTAAAATCAAGATTCAGATGAGTGAATTTAAAAATAAAGAAGAAAAAGAGAAATAATTGATCAGCTTGTTTGGGAGAAAACGAGATAAAATGGAGAAAGTTAAGAGAAGTTACTAAAATGTAAAATAAGAAGGAAATAAAAAGTGTGTGAATGAAAATAGGCAAATATAATTTAGATTAAAATGAATCTAGATAGAAAAATAGTAAAAATGGAAAATTAAAACATTTTACTTTAGGAGGAAAAGGTCTAAACATAAGTCGTAGTACAATTTCTTTATAGACTTTGGACATTGCAAAAATTTACAAAATGATCACCGAAATTATAATTTCCAATTCTTTCAATTTATTCACCAAATTATTTAATTAAACTTCCATAATTAAAATTAATCATCTAAAATCACTTAAAACCTTTCCAAAATATTTTTAAAACCAAAATATGAATTTTAGAAATTTTTCTTCCTTTTTATTGGAAATCTGGAAATCGACCCGAAACCGACCCTAACTACCAGACCCGACTTTAGGACGTTACAAAGTGAGTTACCTTGAGTACTAAGCTACTGGGAGCTCCTTCAACTCAATCAATGGTGAGCTTTTCCTTTCCTTTGCACTTGGAGTTTTCTCTAACTTCTCTCACTAAGAAAGAAATCAATACTATGGTTACTAATGTTGTTGGGAAGCTTAAGGAAAAGTTTAGAACACCACGTGAGCTCAAATCCTTCCAAAAATGAGTTGATTAAACTCAGACTCTAAAACCCCCACTAAACACATATTTGCTAACCATGTCCAAAACTTGTCATTAAGAGCTTGAATGAAAGCTAAGGAGATGGAGGTTTTCTTCTTTACCTTGAAATCTCGAAAATGGAATGATTATCTAGCAAAGTTGGCACCTTTTTTTTTTCTTTGAATGGGTGGGAGAATGAAGGATAAAGGAAGAAGAAAAAAAGACAAAGAATAGTTAAAAAAAGAAAGAGAGACATGCGTGAGATAACCCAAATTAATGGGTTTTCAGCCTTTGCAAGAATTTTTGGTATAATAGTTCTCTTAGTCCTCTTAATTTTAGTCACAAATTAAAAACATCCCCCTTTTTAACTCATGTTGGGATCAAACCAAACCCAAATCCACTCAAACTTGGGTCAAGGTTTACTACAAGCTAATAGGTTTAATCCAAAGTTCTATCGGGTTAGCCCAAAACTCTTAGCCCAGAATTTACGGTGTTACACTCTTAGTAGAGACTAAAGGAAACGTGAGACTTACACTAAGAGGTAGACATACACTATTGGTTTTTAAATGATGACTATGTGTATTGATTTCAAAAAAACGATTAGCCATTTTGGCGGTTTCATGTGACATTTAAATCCTCCGGACTTTAGGTAGATTCAATTTTAGGTGTTACAGATGATCGTTGGAAGTTAGGGGCAAGAGATTTAGGGCCTTTAGAGGTCTCATTTTTAGGATTGATGTTAGAGGGATTAGTTGTCATTTACCTTAGATCTCAAGGTTTAGAGTTAAAAAAGGAACGATCAATGGTCTTAAGATCACCAGAGCTCATGAAGTCGAAGGGTTGAGGGAGGTTTAGAGGAGCTTGGAGGCTTTATTTGGAGGTTTTAACCTCAAATCCAAGTTTATGATCATGGATTGAAGATTTTAAGTTGGTTTATGGTTTTGTTTGGTTAATTTGACCGCCACAGACGGTGACTAAGGACAGGAAGCAACACTAATGTATAATGATCGCGGGATGACAAACAAGTAGTTTTTCATCAGAAGCTATGTGAGAAGAAAGGAAAGAATTTGAGAGGTTTCTAATTAAGGTTAAAGTTTGGAATGGATTACCTAAAATGGTAAAAAAAGCATAGGTTATATATGTCCAATTTATGGGCAATTCATGCTTTAATTCGTGTATTATTGTTGCGTATTTACATATTGGTAACTTCTTTCTTTTTTTATTTACTTTGAATATGATGCATTGGTTTTATTGATATTTAGTTTAGCCATTGTTTTTATTAATATTACAAATCACTTAAATCGACCTTGCGGTGACTCGTCACAAGGTATGATCTACATTCTTTACGGTCTAAGTAAATTTAATTGTAACACTAACCACTAATATTTAAAATTAATGTACTGAATTAATTCCACGACCTTGCGGTGACCCGTCCTGAGATATAAATCGTGTTATTTACGGTTCGGGTAAAGTATTAAAATGAACCCGCTAACTTTTAGTTTCTTCTATTTTACATTTCTACCCATTTAATTTATAGTAATTTAAATTTCTACCTTCGAATTTCCCTCATTTTAATTTTAGTAATTAATTTTCAGTATTTAATTTTTTGCTTGTTTTTAATTTATGCCTTACATGATGTTTTCTTCCATTTTAGTCCCCTTAATTTTTTTAAATTTCAATTGTACATTTTGAATTACTTCAACTTAGTCCTTTTATGTTCCAATTTAGTCCTTTTTTAATTAGTTTCAATTTAGTCCTATTTTGATTACTTAGATTTTATATTTATTCCTTAAATCTAGGTTCCTTTTAATTTTGTCCCTAAACTTTTTTTTTTATTTTAGGTATATTTTTTATTTGATCATCACTTTTATGCTCAAGGTTCAAAATTAATTATTCGATTCAATAATTTGTTAAAATTAGTTATGATTAATATTAGATTAGATTAATTTCACCTTTTGTCCTTTAATTCAAGTGAATTTTTAATTTGGTCATTACTTTTATGTCTGAGATTCCATATTAATTATTCAATTTAATAATTTGTTAACAGTGGTTAGGATTAATATTAGAGCCTTCACCTTAGGTTTAATTTCACCTTAGTACTTTAATTTAAGAAAAAAATTAATTTGGTCCTCGCTTTTATGTCCAATGCTCCATTTTATTTATTTGATTCAATAAATTATAGAAATTTTATTAGGTTAATATTAGAGCCTATAATTTAGGTTTAACCCTTTAGGTCCTTTAAAGTTCATAATTTGATACTTTAGTTAGAGGGAATCCTTAATTAACTTACTTAGTATAATTAGGTTCAATAATTGGTTGTTTAACTGCATAATTCGATTTCAATACAAGGCAATGTTCATTTATTATCGGTTAATATTGTATCTTTTGCATTATGCCTATGGGTGACTACTATTGATTCCTAAAATAAATCAACATCCTTTTCAAAATATTGCTTCATGATTTTAAAATTATAAGACAATGTTTATTTATTGAGATTAATAGTGAAGCTTCCGCTTGTGCTTGAGGGTATTAGTTATTGGTCCCAATAAATTAATACCCTTTTTAAATTTTCATACTTAATGAGTTTTACATTAAATAAAATTTCTAATTCAAAATTTCTAATTTTAAAACATAGATAATCGACTAGGTACCAGTGGTGGAACTTAGTGATAGAGATTGGGGGGCAACTTAAAACTTTAAAAAAAATTAGAAATTAAAATTTTCAAAAAAAATTGAAGGGTTTAGTTTATATTTTTTTTTCAAAAACATTAGGGTTTGACTAAAATTTTTGAAATTTTGAGAGATTGAATATTTTTTTTAATTATGGGAGGGGATTTAATTGAGAACATTCAAAAACTTCAAAGTTTAACTTGAATTTTTAAAATTTTTGGGGTACCAAATTATTTTTTTTTTAAAATTTAAAGAGTCTAAACTATAAATTTTAAAATTTTGAGAACATAGCCCCCACTAGCCCTGGTTATATTCGGCCACCGCTAGGTACCAATTGGGTGTTGTGGAGTACTAATCTATCTCATGCATAATTAACTCCTGAACCTGATTTTTTATTTCGTAGAAAAAAACATCAATATTTTAATAAAAATAAAGTATTAAAATAAAATACTTTATTACCATATGTACAAACATAACATGATAAAACAAAGAATAAACGATAGATGCAGCGGATATTCCGTCTTCCTGTGATGTAAGTTTATATGTAAACACATATGAATATGCATGGAAACAAAGAAAAAGCAAGAAACGAGGGCAAGAAAAGGCAGAGGAAAAAAGATGAATTGGAAGAAGAGCCGGTAGAGTGATTAGTTGAAAATATAAAAGGCAGTAGGGCCGGTTGTGTTATTAGAGGTTGTGATGCGAAGTAGCCCCCCACATCATGGTATAGTGAATAACCCACATGTTATTCTAATACCATCAATCATGCAATCATTGGATTTCCTCTACTTTTTTATTGGATTCCAGAGTTAAGGTTGTTTTTTCTTTTAAAATTATGTTTCTGAGACGGTAGGAATTCTTATAGCATTCAATTCGCCTTTGATACTATCAGCAATCATGACTAGTTATGGACAATCATTCGCAAGGAGACAACCGCTTGTGCAACCATACAAGTACCAAAACAATAAAGAAATTTGGCTATTAGAAATTAGAAGGGAAGGGGCGCGAGATGGAGTCAGGAGGATCGAATAAGGTTGTCAAAGTCTTCCATTAAAGACCGGCCATGACATGTACAAAACAGTGTGGTTGAAGATGCTTTGATTAAAATATTATTACATCACCTAACAACCGTGTCCACCCAAAAAACTAGGGAATTCTTGGAAGCTATCTGGCAGTTCAAGCTACATACAATCTTCCTTTGTTTCTGCTCTGTTTCAGTCCCAAGCTGACAGATTTATGTCTGTATATTTTATTCTTTTGTTTCCTTCTTCCTGATCAACAGACTTGAACCATTGAGCTTTATTTTCAACTCTGCAACCCCTCAGCCTAACACTTGCTCAAATGGCCACTAGCAGCAGAGCATCCAAGCCAGGGACAGGGAGGCAACTTGGAGAACTCCTCCAAGAACAGCAAGAACCTTTCACCTTAAAGGTTTACCTTTCAGAGAGAGGATGTGTGAAAAAGAAGTTAATTTCAGGAGCTCACTTCATCAACTTCAGCTGCTGCCATGGCAATTCAGGCAGGTTTTTAAACAAGTCCGGTAGTCAAAACGAGGACAAGAAGGGTTCTCCACAATTTCCCAAGGTACTTAAAGTTATACTACGTAACAAGTTCTTTAAAATGAAAGGCTTGAGAACCAAGAATTCCGATAAAGATGGAAAGCTTAGTGTCACTGAGATGGACATATATAACCATGGAACAGCGGAGGCAGAAAGATTTTCCTCCGCTAGCAGCGCAACAGTGTATGATTCATGCCCAGATAGTGACACAGATGAACCGCCGGTGTTTGCCGACACTTCCATATCTGACTGGAAACTCCACGATTAAGGAAAAGAAGGTACACAAAACCTTAATTTATTGCTTATATATTCCAGGAAAATATTTGAAGTTCTTTAGATTGTTACTCATCAAGCTAACAGGCTGACGCAGGTACAAAGTTTGAATGGAGTTGCATGGAAGAAAATAAACAATAAAGCCCTCGATCAGTATTAGAACAAGTGTCTACTTCTACGAGCTCCCCACCTTATAATCGTTAGTATCTTTAAAGTTGCTAAGCTTTCATAGTTACTTCCCTTCCGATTACAATTCGTTACGAATTCATTCTCCTGAAGTTAAAAACAGCAAGACAAGTTTCCTGCAAAAGACTCTTCTGGACTAAGCTGCTAAAGCTGGACTCAATCTTCTCAACTTGGCTATTGAATTTACTTCTTCAAACCAGACCAGTGAAATCAAGCAGTGGAGGGTTAAACGAACTACAAGTGCCTGATTGGTCTAACTCTTCCCGATCGTCAAATCGAAAAGGGTTCTGCAACGAAAAAAACAGCTTCTCTTTGACTGTATTAGGGAGTTGGAAGAAATTAACCATGACGAGGAAGAGAAAGGCAAAGGGACTAAAGGGTCTGCTGAGGAGATTCGAAAGGTCAGGTGTGATACTATGAAGGGACGGGAAAACGATGCGGAGATGAATCAAAACATTAAGCGATTGTTGGAATTAGATATACTTAATTCAATCGAGGAATGGGTGAATGATTTTGAATCCTGGAAATGGAATATCGGGATAGTAATTGGAAACGCCATTGTAGATGAGATTACAAGTGAAATTGTGAAGTCCTTCCTATATAGTTGAGATGTAAGCTTACGGGTTTCAAATTTTAATTACGTTGTGTAGGTTTAAGTACTATTCAGCTGTTGCTATTCCTGTCTTGTTTAGATTTGTTACTTTATTCAGTTGCAGCAGGTTGAGCCTTTATTGTTAAATAATTGAGAGTATTTAGAATAGATACTAATTGGTAATCATTTTAGTTTAATAAAAAAAATATACCTAACAGGTAGAGAAAATAATGAAGTTAACTAGAAATCTGTCTGAAGTTCACCCAAAGTTTAATATAAAACTGTCCAATTGATTAACCACATAAGACTAAAAGAATTAGGCTTAATATAAAACTAATTTTTCTAAAATATACCTCATGTCTGTATATGTATTCTAGTTTTCCATGAATAGTTCCTGTCATGGTCTGAGACAAAGGAGGTCTTCAATGATGAGACAATAAAGGAGTACACAATTGATTAGTTATTTGAGTAAATGGCTGTGCGAAAGCTTCGTTCTTTCTGTCGGTAGTTGCCCGTTTTGTATCTTTGAATAGATCATGGAAAGTGGAAAAGTATAATAGGTCAAATGATTTGGCAACTACTATGAGCTTTTATGAAGAAAGAAATCGGTAAATCCTTGTAAGAACATCAAATGCTTAACATGATTATCTGAAAAGATTGTTTTTTGTTCTGGTAATTGCAGTCTATGTTAGCTTAACCTTTTTATTTCTTTTAAGTGATTCTATATGAGATATTTGCCAAGGAGACACTTGCAGTTATAGGTAACAGTGAGGCTTGTAGTTCTAAGCAGTGAAAAACACACATCATATTTTCTAGATCATCCTTACAAGTTTAAAAACAGAACCATCGACTACTATGTTGACCCAACACGAGTCATTGCCATACATTGCAAGTAAAATTGAAAAAAAAAATTGTTCCCTAACGTGCTTTCATAATATTAGACAAACAGCCTTTCCTAGTTACTTGTAACAAAGTTTAATCTCTAAATTATAGGAACAAAACTTGGCAAAGAAGTACAAATTACAAAAATTAAAAGTATTAACATGATAATATAAGACAATTATAAATTCATGCTTCCCCATTTATCCATTTTCTCTCACAACCTAGTGACTTTAGTGTAGGTAGAGTGGATTATAGAGCAGGCAGAGAGGAAGACTGAACAGGGGTTGAACCACGAAGATTATTGCAAAGGCTAGCACTTCAATTGGTCTCGTTGTTCTCGGCTCTTGGGCTGCTTCCAGCGCTGCTATTAGAAAGAGAACCGAATGTAGTCTTTTGTAAGACCCCGGTGGGAGATGGTCCTAAGTGACGGATATTATCCCAGCCCTCTGTCATGAGGTTAAGTGCCGAGTTGTTACACTCACCCGCGCTGCTGTTGGTACTATGCAATACCTCACCTAGAGGACCACCCATGGAAGACTCCCAAGAGATGGGAATCCGATTTGCTTGCCTTTGGTTTGATTCATTCATAACACTGCCCACTCCCAATCCCATGTGTATAGGATCGAATTCACGTGATAATCTGAGAGGTGATAGTGTTACTTTCTCATTATTGGTAGAGGAAGTAAAGGACATGAAATCAGCGGCAGCCATGGATACTGATATGAAAAGTTGGGTCCTGTCTGATTGAACATCAACCTCGGGCCAGGAAATGGCTGAACGATCAGACTGGGTTTTAGGCCACTCGTCCATGAACTGGCGAAGGGAATGCTGGGTTTCAGTTTCTTGACCGGTAAGATCTTGAGAGGAATCAAAATTTCTGCACTTGATCAAGGAAGAACTCTTATGAGAAGGGTTAAGCAGTGACTCGGAGGAAACAAGTCCGAACTCGGTTCTAGAGTTTTGTTCATATGAGAGCTGCTGCTTCGGGATCAAGAAAGGGTTTTCTTTAGATTTTAGGTCACCGGCCAGGGATGCCATGCTGAGCCCTGGTGCACTATCATTTATTCTTTCACACCCAGTGTCTTTACTCAGAAGCAACCTGGAAGAGAACCAACCGTCGATGGAATTTGAATTTATCAATGACAACTTTCTACAGTAACAGGGTATTAAACAATCTATTAGACGAACATTCCCTAACTGTAACCAGTAAGGCCAGTCACTATCAGAAATGGCAGAAGATAATTCTACAATCTACAATTATTGTTCTTTGGAAAGCAACATAAGAATAACAACGGCACTCAAGGTAAATGTTCTCAACTACAGCTTACAAACAAGGAGCTGAGAGGATAATTCTGTCACCTGTTCAGTGAAGTCGCTGCAGAAAGGTTGGATGCACTACCAGGTTGTAAATTCTTAAAACTGCTGTTGTGCAATGGCTAGGCTGTTGGACTCGCCGCTGCCACTGGTTGGCCCTACCGCTGATGATGGGGAGGATGAAACCGTAGGCATCAGTTTGGTGGTGGTGGCAGCGGCGGAATGGCCAGACTGGCCTTCCACAGGCTTTCTTGAACGATGGCGACCCCTGTTCATATGCCGCTCGCAATACTTCTGATCGGCAACCGCGTCTCTTGAACACCGCCATTTCTTTCCATCCGTTCTACGACACCGTCCTGGGCTCTGGATCGGTGTTATTTGAGAACCCAAGATGAAAAGCTCCCCATCCCACTGTCGCGACATCATTAAAAATATCATTAAACAGATTAACAAAAGCAACAATATATAAAAAAAATAACACCAGCAGATTCCAAATACTAACAAAATCTTAAGATGCTGAAAACACCCTAATCAGTTAGCTAAACAGCGTTTAGTACAAAATTAAACATTCTGGTTTACCATTGATTTTAATTTTATTTTTGATCTTCAAATCATAGAAACAGGTTAGGGAGAAGTTGCCTTGACGTAAATGGGACCAAAACAAATGTAGAAATGAGCTATAGTTAGATTTGAAGTGTACCTAAAATAAATATATACGACATTAACATTTTCAGTAACACCTAATATTAATAATTCTGATATAAAAAATAATATTTGAAGTAACACTTTAATAAAAATATATTAACATTTTTATAACTTGTTTTTTTTAATCTTATGTTAGACTGTTTTTACTTGGACGTGAGGGATTAAGATAATAGAAACCCCCCATAAAAGTACTTCTACACCAATAAGAACAGATAGTAAAGTGCAGCACAAACTGGAGCCTATACCCTTCCCACTCCCAAATCATTCTGTGTGAAAAAGAGAGAGATTTGCTGCAACTTTTGCATCAAGCATGGAAATTGTATGGACATCATAGAAAAAGGAGGAAAAAGATTTCCTTGTTTTTTGTTTTTCTCAGAGAAGAGACAACTTACATGTATTGGGCCTGAGGAGTCCACCAGAGAAAATTGAGAAATTAGCAGAATCAAGGGATTTTCTTATAGGAATGAGAAGATTAGATGGTATAGGCACATTATAAGTTATGTATTTGTAGATCAAAGCCTGGTGTTCCAGCTCCATCCATTGAGATGGAGTAAATGGTCCTCTAGCTCCTGTTAACACCCCGTGCATGTTTGCACCATTAAATCCCCCACTGCTATAGCCTGAAACATAAAAGTAAAACAGGAAGATTGAAACAAGAATAAAATGAAATGAAAGCAGAAAAGCCAAAATTTCAAGGCTTTCAAAGCAGTGCAATGAAAATGAAAATAAAAATAAAAAAAAATGTCAGTAGTTTTTACACTTTGTGTAAAAATGGAAAAATGGGAGGCAGTTCTCCTTTTGTTCCCATGCTCACTTTGATTTATTACCAAAAATACCTCTCATCCAAAACAGGAAGATGAATAGAGAACCTCGCTTTTTTTTCCTTTTGACAAGACCTAAAAAAAGACCGCTGATAGATTACCATGAAAAGACCCTTCACCAGAACCCATGGAATCATACCAGAAAACCAGTAAGAAAGTATGTCTAGTCTTTTCGTCAACCGAACATGAGACGGTCATTTTACCCCTTCCATAATTTCCTCAAATGATATTTTTTTTTGGAAAAAAAAATCTGAACATCTTGAATAGGAATTTTGAATAGGAAATGATGTTAGAATCTGAACATCTTTCGACATATGTACCTGTGTTTCTACTGTAAGCGGGTGATGTGAGGTGAAAGTAAGGGAATGCGACATTTTGAGAGCCCTTGTCCACAGAGAGAGCTTCTGATTTGGGAGCAGAAAAGCTCAGCATTTGTTGCGGCTGTTGTCGTCCGTCAGAGAAGATGGAGGTGTTGGATCTCGGTAAAGTATCTCTCTGGTTCAGCAACATTGCCTTGGAGGCTGAGAAATCGTCAAACTTGGCCAGTTTTGAACTCCTGCAGTCATCCTCATTGTTGCCGGATCTCTCTTGCTTGAGGAAACCAGAGCCATACCATTTCTGCTTCGTCTTAGGATCGGAAGCAAGAGAAGTAAAACCAGTAATAGCAGCAGTAACCTCTGAACCCACGAACCCCTCCAAACCCACCACCCCAAAATCCATAACCTAAAAGACAAACTCAAGATTCAAGCAATAGAGCATTGGGTTATTACTTGTGAAGTAGAAAGTTGATTTGTTTTCAAGTGTATTATGATTCATGGGTCTATGGTTTAAGCTTTGGCTCAGACTCAGACCAGACCAGACTAGCTTTCATTTAAAGATTTGATGTAAAGAGGGAATACAGAGAAAATAATCGAAGACACAAGAGAGAAAGATAAAGTAATGGAGGCAAGGTGAAAACTGAGCGGACAAAGCTAGTCCTATATACCAATGTCATTCTCTACATCTTCTACACGGTAAACCAAAAAAAAAAAAAAAGATCTGCCTTTTTTAAAAATACCGATAAGAAAACCTACGGCAAAAGCGCTCAGATAATGCTACAGGGATTGTTTAATTTCCAATCTAACGTGTTCATCCGATTATTTCCTTAAATGGGGTGTTTTCTATAATAGATTTGTGATATCTATGTGTCTTCAGGGTTGAATCAGATTTTTTTCGGTCTTGTTTGGGATCTTCCGGCGTCTTTAAGGTGTTTGGATTGTTTATTGGATCTCTAGGCGTCTTCCATTAAAAAATTT